TGTGTGTTAGAATTTTGTTCTACATCCTTCTCCAGCTCTGTCCAGAACCCTCTGTTGTGATCGCGGTCAGAGCAGTCAGTTGTGATAGCCGGGCACCATTCTGACTCTTTAAAAAGTGCTATGTATGGTGTTACAGATGTAACTGTGTTAGAGAGATGAGAAGAACTAGAAAAGAAAAAGCTTCAGAAAATGGTGGCAACCCAGTCTAACTTCTCAGCTGCTTAAGAATAAAGGACACATTGATGGAGGTGGCATCGATTATACATTAAGTATACAACTTAAGCTGTGCATGTATGTATGATTCCTTAGCAATTCACATTCCTGGATAAAATCTAAGTTGAGGGGGAGGCCTAGATGAATTGTCCAACCTAGCGTCCAACCAGGTAAAACTGCAGTTAAGTAAATACAACCAGTAAAAACGTAATTGCCTTATGAAATGGCTTCTGAAAGCCAGTGTTTTATCACCTGTTGTCTTAAAAATCACAGTTGCATGAAAATAAGCTATTTCTGCTGCCTTGGAAAATTAGGGAGATCTCATTCTCAGAGCACATCAGTAGGGTTTGGCCACTTTTACTTTCTTGGACATACCCTAATTATGCATTCCTGGCATCCCAGTCACAATAAAAGGCTAACACTGTTGTCTTTTTATTTCCAAAGCGGTTTCAGTCCTCTTGTGTTTTATTACCATAGGATGTGACAGGAGAATTTACGTTTTTCAGATGATATAATGTGTTCGTGAAACTAACCCTGCTATTTTGTAGGGGGTGTCGTTGATACTTTGGGATATACTGGGATTAACTTGTATTGAGCAAGCATTGTTATGTCGAGGGTTGGTTTTACAAAGCATGAGATCATGAGTAATGTGGGGCAGAGTGTTTCAGTGGTGGAAGCTGGCAGCACAGGCATGACCTGCTCGTTGTGAAAATATGACGTTAAATCTGCTGCCAAGTGCTATGCCCTGACAAACAGAACTTGATGGGTTTGAAAGTAGGGAGGGGGCAGTCCTGAGGAAATAACTGGAGTGAGATTGCAGAGGGACTTGCAGGCCAACAGCAGAGCTTAAAATGTTCTCCTGTAAATCACTTGCAAACAAAAGAGGTAATCAGAGCTGGCGTGTTCTTTGCAGTTGTGTTTTAGCTGTGATAAAAAGAAATAAGCAAGTAATCCAAAATACAGGTGGGATCTCATTATGGTAAAATCCATTAGTGATAATTATAGAGCAAAAAATAATGAAGCTGATGCTGTTTCCAATGCAGTAGAGTAAAATATAGTAAAATTAAGGATCATGACACTGGTGAAATTCCCATGAAGAGTTAATTTATGTTAATTGACAGCAGAAAGAACTTCATCTACCATATTTAATACTCCTGAAAAAATTCAGTCAGTTTGGTGTATCGTGTTACTTTAGAACTTAAAACACCTGCGCGTGCACCCTTACCATCCAACTCAGACTTTCTTGCTCTGAAAAGAGGATGCATTTGCTTTGAGAACATTCTGGTAGGAGAGTCATTATGTGAACCGAAATGATGTGAGAGAAAAAGATAAACCATTAGTTCTAGAGTTGTGTGTGTATCTGTTGGATAAAGCAGATTATTAGCATTCCAATGTAACAGATAAAGAGAATTCCTTTTGTTGCAGCTTCTTTTCCTCCTTTGGTTCCTATTGTATTGCCTTTTAATGTAGATTCAGGTTGTTCTCTTGTATTTTGAATTAAGTGCCATCTTTTACCTCTATATTCATCATGGCAGTAAGCTGCGTGTTTTCCCACTAGTGGTGGTACACACTTTTGCATGCAGTGTTTTTACTTATTGCACATGCGCATATATATATATATATATATACATATATATATATATGTATTTCCATTTTATTTGGACTGAGACTTATTGAAACTATTTACTTGAGTGTTTGTAAATAGGTGTTTTCTTTTAAACTCTTTAAGTATAACTACTTATGTACAGAAAAGCACACAATTCCAAGTATAAAACACAGCTGTGTAACCAACATGTCAAGGTATATTTTTAATTAAAACTTTTAAGAATACTTATTTTCTGGAAAAAAAAAAGACTTTAGGGTAAAGTATTTTTTGTATAATGTAATGTATATGTCAAATGTTCATAAATCTTTTACATAAATTACTAAAGAGTTATGAAAAAATTTTAGGGGAAAAAAATCTAGGTCAAAGATTAATATTCCTTAAGGAAGGTGCTAATCTTCAAATATAGATTTAAAGAATTGGAAAGAAAAGAAATTTTTTGGTTATGAGTGTCATCTTGTAGCATCAGGTATTTTTCTTGTTATTGGCATAAGTAATAATTTAAATTTAGTTTTTATTTTATCTTCCTTATATAAATTAGTTCCGCTATTTCTTTTCATCTTTATGCTTTCAAATTCCTATATTACCAGATTTTCCTTTCATTTTTTTCTGGCAAAATTTTAAAAGCCGCTTATTTGATTTTGCAGCAGTTTTGATGTGGGTACCCTTTGTCTGTTTCTCAGAAATGTGTGACGTGTACTCTCTTGCTGAATTGCAGTTGGCTATCTACTTCCCTACTGAGGGAATCCATGAGAACGGGTGTGGCCCCTGCACTGCATGTATGGAAGGATGGCATTGAGGCGGGTTCACTCTGCCTCGGTGCTTCTCAGATTTTAATGCACATGTGAATGACCTGGGCATCTTTTTAAAGTGCAGGCTCTGGTTCAGTAGCTCCCGGGTGATGCCCATAGTTCCTGGACCCTTTAAAATAGCAAAGCGCTTCGTCATTTTGTGTGCCTTACATGAAGACTGAGGTGTGAAACCTTTATTTTTTATGTTTGTTCATTTTACATTTATGACTTGAGACTCTATTGTAAGAATTTATTGACTGTTTATGGTAGCTTTGTGAATCAGAAATTATGATGTCCATTCTTTAAAAAATATTTTATTGTGTTGTTAGGTGAAAGTTAACACAGCAGATTAGGTTCTCATTTAACATATTTTTTATACATTGTTCCGTGACTTTGGTTACAATTTTCACAATGCATCAGTATTCTCATTGTTTCCATTCTGTTTGTTCTGTTTCTACTGATCTAGCTTCCCTTCTGCTCCTTGCCTTCTCATCTTTGCTTTTGAGTAAAAGTTGACCGTTTGGTCTCATATAGTTAATTGTTTAAGGGAGCACATTACTTATGGGTGATACTGTTTATTTTGTAAGCCAGTCTATTATCTGGCTGGAAGATGACATCCAAGAGTAGCTTCAGTTCCAAGTTCAAAGAGTGTCTTAGGGTGGTAATCTTGGAGTTCCTCTAGTCTGTTATCGGCCCAGTAGGTCTGGTCTTTTTTAGGAATTTGTATTGTATTCTACACTTTTCTCCCATTCTATCTGGGACTTTCTATCATGTCCCTGGTCAGAACGCTTAGTAGTGGTAGCAGACATCATCTCGTTCTTCTGGTCTCAGGTTAGAAGAGGTCGTGGTTCATGTGGGCTGTTACTCCTGTAGACTGGTTTGTTCTTTGAGTCCATGGTTTTCTTCATTCTCTTTTGCTCCATATGAGTAGAGGCCAATAGTTGTATCTTAGATGGCTGCTTGCAAGCTTTTAAGACCCCAGACGCTACTCACCATTATCTTTATGAACTGTTATGCCAGTTGCCTGAGTTGTCCCACGAAATTACAGTCCTAAACCTTTTAACCCAGTAAACCAGTCTCATGAGTTGTCTGGATATGTCTAGGAAGTCTCTGTAACTGTGCCCCCCATGCGGTTTATTATATGTGGATATATACGCAGTACACATGAACATGTGTATACATATGCCTACAGATACACCTAGAGAGCCCTGGTGGTGCAGTAGTTAAAAGCAGTCCCTGCTAACCAAAAGATCAGCAGTTCAAACCCACCAGCCACTCCGCGGAGAAAGATGGGACAGTCTGCTTCCGTAAAGATTTACAGCCTTGGAAACCCTATGAGGCAGTTCTGCTCTGTCCTGTAGGGTCACTATACGGTTGCTATGAGTTGGAATTGACTCAACAGCAGTGGGTGTTTTTTGTACGGATACACCTATACATGTACCAGCATGTACTCGCTTA